AACCGCATACCAGATTAAAAAGATGCGCACATCGACTTTTATTGTGTCAAACGCAAAAGTTTGCCACTGTTTACATATTAATGAAGCACAGTGACTGTGCGAAACTTTTTTTAAGGGCAATATTTTACATTGGCAAATTTCCATCAGCCAGAAGTCAATATACACGATTTTAATTTCTATTTTTATTGGTTCAGGTATAATTTAGATGTTCATTGAATATACGAGCGGAGTGCAATTATCCAATCCGAATTTTTTCTTCTTTCAATGATAGTGACAAAGGAGTTATTGATACGTTTGCATTGATTACGTTGACATTTGAGCTATCATTTAATTAATAAACAACTTTTAACAGAATCCTTGCGATAGCAACCCATGCTCTAATGGAGGTACTTGTCAAGCTGGATTTACGAATAGAGGTTTTCGTTGTGTTTGCCCAGCTGGACTCCCAGGTATAAACTGTGAAGGTATTGTCTTTCTTTCTTTACGAATACAGTCATAACTAGTCTAGCTGGAGAATCTCGATCAGGGTCGAAGGATTCGGAATTGGGATCAAGTCAGAATATTTTCTTAAAAATCAAAGACAGAAATCCTTGGTACTTGTTCATCACAATTCCATCATCACGAGCTAAGTGTTCAAGACGACTTAATCATCTTTGTTTTGTCAAGGAGTGGGCTGGCCTGAATTTCTTTTCCTCAGTTTGAAGAAAAAGGTGATCTATCCTTTGAGTAGAATAGAAAATCCTCCATCGTAAACCCTACCATAATTATTTCGTAAGTATTTTGGCATGTATAAGGGGTGCTGCTAAGTCCGCTTTTTATTTATTTATTTATTTATTTCGCCTAATTATCTTAGGCAGGGAGACCACTACAGTCTTAGCCAATTACAGTGGATCCCGCGTCAACAATAACAAGGCCAGATCCCCGCCCCCCTCCATTCTCAGTAAACAGGCCAGACCACATCGCAGTAATCTCATGAGTGGGTTCTTTAACGTCCCCAGCCAAACCAAATTAACTAATTAACAGAAGTAGGAGACAGGACTTACGGTTTACTCGTCCTTATCCGAGAAGACTAGAATGTCTATCCATTCTGGATATTATAGAAAGGTAGCACATTCTCCTCAGTTATTTAGGACTTGAGTGTTGGTCCTCGAACCCTCGACCTTCCGCACAACAGTCTGGCGCTCTCACCAATTGAGCTAACTGGGAGGCTTAACCCCATGCGTGACCAAGACAGAATTTCTCCTTACAATATCAACACAATAGCAAGGAGAAAATTGATGAGAATAGAAAAAATATAAATTAGGGGATATTTAGTTGATCCAATAGCAAATTCTCAGAACTAAGATCATATGAATTGTATGGAATGCAGTAAAGAGAATAACTAGTGAGATCTTGGAATTGAAATGTGTCCTGTAACCTCAACCGAGAGGATTTCGAAATGTGTCATATTCTTTTCTTATTAGTAGGCAAGTCTTGCAGTGAAGTAAAGACGCTCGACCCAACATCTGAAACTGGCCCTTATGTCATTGATCCTGATGGTGAGGGAGGACTGATGCCGTATAATGTCACCTGTGACATGAATGACAAGAACGGAGTTGGCGTGACAGTTATAAGTCACGACAGCGAGAACAGAACACTGGTGGACGGATGTGATCCAGTGGGTTGTTACTCACGCGAGGTCAATTACATAGAAGCAAGCTTTTCTCAGCTGGCGAGCCTCACCAGGGTGTCCCTGCACTGCGAACAACATTTTAAGTTTGAGTGTCTTCATGTAAGGATGTACAGGAACAGAAACTTTGGCTGGTGGTTGTCACGTGATTCCAAGGAGATGACTTACTGGAACGGATCTGTATTTAGCCCGCACAAGTGCGCATGTGGAATGGACAACTCTTGCCAACAACGCCTAGATAACACTCGGGTCAAAAATTACTGTAACTGTGACATGAATGATGACATATGGCGGGAAGACACAGGTCTACTCACAAACAAGTCACACTTGCCAGTTAAACAACTGAAATTTGGAGATACAGGAACATCAAGAAACAATATAAATGAACACGGTTACCATACGCTGGGAAAGTTCAAGTGTTACGGACAAGTCTAAAAGTTAAAACTAGTCGTTGCTTCTTAATTCGTCCCTTAAGCCTTTACTCTCAAAAGCTCGCAGATTCAAAGAAAGCAAGAGTCCATCACTAAATTACAGTCCGTGCATTTAGGTGTAATGTCTGTCCATTTAAATTCCCATTCTCTGGGTATTTCCTCTCCAAACCTAAAAGCAGAGTTCCAGCTTGTGGCTTTTTTGCACATGCAGAATAAAATTTTCGAACAGACAGTCGGATGTACCCGGGGGAAGGGGACTCCTATATGAAACAGACGGGGATGCTCGTCGTCTCGCTTAGGGGTGTAAATTTTGGATTTTGGTCTCGCTTAGGTTGTTCCGAGCAAAGCGCCAATATTTTAGGCCGCCAAGGTCTCGTTTAGGGTTCCGAGAAGAAACACAGAATTACGCGAAGAGAAACAGAAGTCAAATTTTCTTTTTAACTTGTTTTGTTTACCGTATTACCTCTGTAATTATTTATCAAAGATTGGTCTTCTTTATGGGTCACAAGAAGCTTGAGCCACGCCTAGATGGTCTCCTTTAGGAGTTAAATTCAAAATTTCTAACGAGCATCCCCGTCTGTTTCATATGGGAGTCCCCCCCCCGGGAGATGTACATGAAGATAGACGTACATCTAAGGCCATCACTTGTCTGAAAAACTTTCTCAGCTCAATGGCTCACTGAATCTTTGCTTCATAGGGGGTTCCTGGTGCACACTTCGCTTTGCCTCCATAAAATGGTAACAAAATTCATGTCCTGTTCCTCCATGGCCATAGTACTAATAGTAATCATGGATTAGTAAAGTGCATTCGATCCCTATTGAATTACTATCTACTTATAGTGACTGAGCAGGAGAAACGGACAACTACACAACTTAATGACCGAGCACAGCTTAGCGCGAGCTGGGACCTGCAAGTCATATGATAACACACGATCCATTCTTGACGTTTCAATTCCTTGCTAGTTTATGTACTTTTTTTTTTTTTTAATAAGGACTAAAATATGTACACTTTAGGTACCATCAATACCCTTCCCAGATCAGAGTACTGATAAAACCAAACTAGTGTTGTTATGCAATCAATCAAATTAACTTTAAGTTAACGTTGTTCCACATCATAGCAGTTTAAAAGGATGCTAAACAGTAAATGAAACAGGTTTATCCAGAGAAAAAGAGCTCCGAGAGATTCCAATAGTAGTCGAGCTTTCGACCTTCCAATCAGTACTTTAGATGCTCTGCCACTGAGCTATAGAAGACTGATGGCAGGCTGGACTGCTTAACTAGGTCCATGGGGACTAACTTCCTGCATACTGCTAGGATAGGAATGTCGATACGTAATGCTTAAACGCTATGATGATACACGTGTAAATGAAGATGGAAACAAATAAAGATGGTAACAAATGAAGATGGTAACAAATGAAGGTGGTAACAAATGAAGATGGTAACAAATGAAGATGGCCCCGCCCCCCTCCATTCTCAGTAAACAGGCCA